GTTCACTCCCCAAGCAATTCTGGGACTTGGGGGGGCAAAGATATGGCTGGTGGGTCCAAAACCAGGATACCTTGTTGACACGACTTACCATGTACACGATGCACCACGTTCCACCCCTTGGCGGACCTACCTGGTGTCGCGGACTGGTGGACTGGGTGGGCGAATATGGTGGGTCACGACCCATTCCCAGACACTCCATGGGACTGGCATATATGCCGCCCCATTGACCCCCCTGGCACCAACCCAATGTAGGCATATATATTATGGGCATCAGCTAGTTCAGGGTCCACCTTTGAACACGCCAGAATAGTCCCATAGAAGCTCCGGCGCCCCGGACCTCACAAAGACTTCGCTCGACCGGACTTGGCTGGAAGAAACACCACTGTGATCAGCTCGACCTCGACCTCTGATTGAACTTCGACCGCTGCGGAGACTTAAAACTGGAAAGCATCCAAGACCAAGCTTCTTGAACCCTCCCAGGAAGGTATCTTTCAATTGAGAAAAACGACCCAAACAAACACCCTGGTCGACCCCCATTGTGTTCCTAGTACGTTTTGTATGTGGATCGCACGGATCCCACTTCTTCCTTACGAAACCCTTCAACTCGCGACCCTGAACATCAGTTTATCTGAACTCCTTGGAAGTCCAGCGTGACAAGTCTTCCTTGCCAACTGTCCATGTTCTGCCCCAATGTCATTCTCTGAGTCATTCTGCAAGTGACGTTAGCCACTTTTTGTCTCGTTGCAGAAAGTCCGTGAATGAGGCATTCCAAAAATGCCCAAGTCAAGAATCCACTTTGCGTTTCTATAGTTCAATATGCCATATGGTTCACGTGTTGCAGGGTGGTTTGGTCTTTTCTTTGACAACACTGCACCCATTTTGACGTGCTTTTTGATTTTTTTCTGGGTTAAGTGCTGTAGGCAAGATCACGTCTTTCTATAGCTGTCATTTCTTGAGTTAGATTCAAAAGCGCCAACAGCGCTCTCAAACACAATGGTGTCCGTCGATCAAAACGTTTGATACAACTAGCACGACTAGTGACTAGTGCTGTCGTTTGTCGCGGCGGTTTTTTTTCCGTGGATTTGCGGCCAGAAACCCAAAAGGACAAAAGCATCATGTTGGTTGTCCAGGACCGGACCTCAATTAAATCACACCTGGCCGAACTGTCTTCATGTCAACCTCATATAGTCCCCAAGCTCAGTTGAATTCCGTATCAACCACTGTGCATTGACCACACAAATTGACCATCTCTCTGTTTCTGCTCTTCTTCGCTTGGCTCCACTTCGATGTTTGTGCTTTGCTGTGTTCTTCTCTCAGCGAAATCCAGATCGGCCACTGCAAAAACGGGAGATCTTCAGTCGGTCTGCACTTCTCAACCTCCCAGACGCTCCAAACAGCCCTTGGTTCCTCAAAACCTAGGGATTGGAGACCCCAGACCCCTCCATATGAGGGACCGACCCTTCCATATGAGAGCCCATGAGCGTCTGGGCTCTTGAAATGTCGGCTTGGACTCCAGCGGCGCCGAAAACGCGGTCCGATGCACGCATGTTCTGCTCCGAAAAGCTGCGGTGCTGTCGGGCAACGAAAACGCGACTCATCGTCTTGCGGTTCGAGTTGTGTACTTCGGGCTTGTAGGGCTCACGATGATGCAATTGCACTCGGGCCATCCTTTTCATATAGCCCTTATAGACTTATAGAGGTGATAGAAGGAGTGTCCATTCACCCCACAAAATCGGGATGGGGAAAGGGAGTTGTCGGGGTGCTGGGCGTCCTTGGCTGTCATTGGGATGTCCGGCAGCCTGCCGAAACCTATAGCTTCCATGCCGAAACTTACGGATGTTGAAAACGGGGCTCCCAAGGTGACCTCTGCGGGTGTCAAAACCCACAGTCAAAGTCAGTTCTGTGTGGATTGAACATGCTGAGGGTATGCTGAGCACATTTTGCAGCACCGCGCATCGCTGATTTGTTCACAGAAAGCCGCTTGGCTTCCTCACCATCTCTGGCTTGGGTCCTGAGAATCGTATCTTGTAGGACGAGTCACTTGGGCAATAACATGGAATTGCTATCAAATAAACATTGAAACTTGGATGAATCCTGGCTTTCCAGGTCAACATGTTGCCAATGTTGAAACCAAAACAATTTTGACAAATAGAGCGCATCCATAAAGCTGGTTTTAGGCATACTTGGATCATCGGCAGATCTGGGCATTCTGCGTTTCTGGTTCTTTGCATCTTGCTGTGGCCAAAGATCTGGACCAAACGGCGGTGTCGAGAAGAAAGACGCTGCAACATATACCAGGACCCGACACCTGTCGGGGTGTCTATTGATTGCCCCCTAACATCCCTAACTAGCTGTGATTCGGGGTGTCCATTAACCACCCCTTGACGGTGCTGGTATGTTTCTTGTGAGGCACAGGTCTTGTAGCAACCGACCTCCCCGGCAAAGTCGAAGTTGAACATGTTCAAAAAGCCGATCGATCGGTCAAGTGGTGAGCTCAGACATGGAGGCCGGGGACATGGGATTGACCACAGAAACTACATCAATTGACAACTTAAGATCAAAAATTACCTGCTGGGTCAACCAAACCTCCAAGGATCTCTGTTGTCACTGCCTGCGCATGCAGAAACGCAACAATTAGGTAGACTTGGCCCAACAAATCCCAAACATCAACCTGGATGGAGTCCTGTGTTCAAACAAAAGAATTCCCAGGTCTGCTTGAATTCTCTGAACACTTTGGACTGAAGAAACTTCAGCTACCAGTTCAAGGATCAAGTAGAACCTAGTCCTTAACCTCATGGAGTACTGCCTTTTTGCATGACTGAACCCTGTGAGATGAGGTCCTTGACCAGGTTATCAAGTTGGTGTAGCCGTTCGGACTCTTATGAGGGGAGAAAGCGTTTACGTACACACAGGACACACCCAAAACTACTCTTCCTCTTCATGCTGTTTGGATCACTCTGGCATGTACAAAGTTTAATTTGAAACTCTAGCACCCTCAAACAACCTTGGCAAGTAATCAGTTGACAACGAAAACGTCAGTTCTTGTACACGGCCCAGCACAGGCTGAAGCCGAACGACTTGCAGGGTTTGGATGCAAGTCAATCGCTCCTGCTAATCTAAACTCTTCCGGAGCCAATGCTGCACTCGATGCGCCACTCCATGCGCCCTGTATCGTCCTGTTCCGCATCATCTCTGGGACCCATCCGGAAGTGGTTTTGACCCAACGATGGTCCAAAACACCTCCGCAAGAAAGGAAAACTTTGCTTTTAAAGAGTTGACGACGAAGGACGGAAGGAACATGTGTGATTGCAACGCCAATCCGAATTGCAAGTTGCTTGACCCAGAAACAACTTGTACATGTAGTTCTCGGCCATACCTGGAAACCCAAAGAACATCCAAGAACCAAAAAAACAAATGATTGAAACTTGAAACTCAATGAATGACCTGATATGACCTGGATCTTCCAACAACATCCAACCACCTTTTCATCCATAAAACCAAATGGCTAAGCCAAACATATTGCATGAGCATGGAAGATCCAGGTATGGCTTGCTTGAGATCCTTTACATAGGAAGTGGCCGCAGTGACCCTTGTCTGGAGAGTTCCATGACTTGTTTCTGGTGACTGGGATAAGATAACACATGACTAAGTTTTCTTGTCTGGATCCCTTTAATGACGATAAACATGTGTGTATAATATAAACATGTATATTGAAACTTGGACTTCCACGTCTGTCAGATTCACGGCGTGAGCAAGTCACTGAGCACGGGTCCTCGTCGGCCTTTACAAAGTTGTTGTAGTCGCACCAAGGACCAAGAATCGGGAACGGAGCAGTCCGGCCAGACCTATATCTTCAACCCCCAAAACAATGCCCGATCTGATCTGCCCAAGAAAGACGGCGCTGGTTCGAACGGATGGGAGAGGCAGAACATAGTGTTGCAAGATGTCGCAAAGATCCGCATGTGAATCGATGGTGAGTTTCCACTCAGCTTCATTCGTCGCCTCTGAGCCCCTCTTGGACTTATTCCTTGGGTCTGGTCCAGATGGCGCTGCGAGTCCAGTCTCGCCTTGAATTGAGTTGGCATGGCGGTCCGGTTCTTTTAAAGAACCGATCGCGGTCACCGGGAGAGGCTCCTCCCCACACGAGTGTTCAAGTGTTGGATACCTTGGGGTGCGATGTGACACCAGTAGTAATCAGTAGTAACTATATCTGCAGTAATCAGGGGATCCAGTTACCACTATAGCTGGTAACTAGTGGTTCCAAAGACTAAAACCATACACTTAGAATCCCTGGTTCCTTACTACTAGTGGTTTGCCTGGGATCCACTGGGGTATATACCTGGAGTCGACTCGTTCGTACCGAACATGGGACGTTTGACCCCATTGTCCAAACAGCTACGACATGAAAACCCCATGAAAACCGAGGTACGAGTTCCGGGTCGACTCCAGGTAGGTTCTTGGTTGGCGCTGGCTTTGCAGTCTGACCTGCCAAGCATAGCTGCTCATGGCATCCATAGTCTCATGTTGTCTCACCACTGAGTTGGACCAATGACTCAATCTCGTTTGCCTGGTTCATGGGTCTTTCTTTGAAGCCATGCCCACATCATTCGTCATCATTCCAATTATTCTTTCTACCCAAGGGTCCATAGATTTGCCACCTTTTCACAGAGTGCAACAGCTCTCAGTTGCTCACCCTGTTGTCGAGGTGACAAGGCTCATGTCGTGTCTATAACGTTCTTTTCGGAGCTTCGTTTCAGCCTGGACATGGGACTTCAAACACTTCACCCACAAACACGCAGCTCAGCCTCTTGGCATCAGAGTGAGGTCGAAACCAACACGCAACAACACGACAATATCTTTGACTCAGCGGAGTAATTACCTGCAACCCAAACATGACCCCTGCTTTGATAGGAAGTTGGACCATATTTGGGGTGGTTGGTGGTCCAAAATAGGTCAAACATGGGTTCTAGGATGTTCTAGGTTCTAGGTGTACCCATTTTCCGAGACTCCAGGCTGTTCCGGTGTCAACCCGGCTTCAAGACCTCAACTCACTCCTCTTTAGACAAATTTGTTTGCAGGTATCTGGGTGTCCCAGCTGTCGCCAGCCTCAGCTCCAGCTGCGACAGACGGCTCACAAGATCACGGAGACCATCACACGCGGGGGTTCCGCCCCTTCTAGGTTCAGGCTCTCTGGGTTCGGCAGTCCATGTAGATCACTTCCATCTGGCCTGTCGAGCACGTGAGATCTTTGGCGGTGAGGTCTTTAGGTGGCGAGGTGTTCCGTCTGAGAATGAAAAAGAAGCAAGTTCCGAAACTTTCGAATCACTTTTTAGATATCATCAATTTCTAGAACTAACTTTCAGTATCCTTAAGATATCGTTTTAAGGAACAACCAAGAGTTGCATGGAGTTGAATGCTGAACTTGGAGGAGTTCAAGGAGTTCACACCCGGTTTTTCTCCATGCTTCTGTCAGAGACAACAAAGACATAGTTTTCAACCAACCCACCGGCCCACCCACCGATGCCGTGTTCCACGGCTCCAGCTTCATGCTTCGCCCTTCTTCACCCCACTACCTGTTAGCCGCCCCCCCCTCCACCTGTTAGCAGCTTCGGACGTGTTCGGCGTCGCCCTGGAGCCGGGTGCCGGGGTGGACTGTCCTGGACGGTCCCCGAGACCCAGCGACCCCCTTCCGGACGGAGGTACCTGGACCCAACTGGTGGGCTGGATGAAGCTGGTTCGCTTCGGAACTCGGTTCGGATGTGTGGATCGAAACGGAAGCTTGACTGATCAGTTGACGGAAGAACAAAGATCCGTTCTTAGACCATGAAAAGACTTCTTCTTCTTCCAGTTTCATGGATTCTTTGAGTTATATGGATTCTTTGGGTCAGGTCCTTCTTTTAGGGGTGGAGCCTCTTCGCCTTCTCTTTCTCGGAGGCTCCAGGGACTCCACTTAAAGCACTGGAGGCTCCGGAAGAAAAACCACACACACACTGTGATGCTGGGATATGCTGGGCGTGGCTGCGCCGGATGGTCGGTCTTCACACCTCCGGTCGGAGCTTCGCACCGGAGCCCACGCGAAGCCGACCCGACGCAGCGAGGTCGGAGGTGTTCAGAGGCGACAGGTCCGCTCGCACCACGCAGATTCTGCCCGCGGAGTCTGCCCGGGAAAGCCCGCACCTCGTCAAGGAGGAGGTGTTTCGACCTGTCCAAAAAACGGGCTGGGCTAGCGCCGTGAGAAGCGTCTGAGCGACCGAAAGTGGACCTGGAGTCGATGGGCTCTTCTGGCAACCGTACACGACCGACCGCAAACCCGATTGATGTGACGTGTGCTTCAGGTGGTGTTTTTTGGCAAGCTTACTGCAAGTATGAGAGATCATTTGCGTCGTTTTGCCTGAGAGTTTTTGGAGACACATTCTTTTTTAAGTCATGATCTTATAACTGCATGTTACAAACATTTACATGGGTCACTTGTGGAATATCTCCTCCGGTTCCAGTGTCTAGAGCTTCCAAACACTATGTTCAAAGAATTCCCGCATCCACTGTAGGTCATGTGTTCCAACTTCCAACCCGTTTCTCTCCACATCTGTTTCGTTTGGTTCACATTTGTTCACTTCATTCATGCCTCCAAGTGGCACACAGGGCATTGAACGATGCCCCACATTTTGGTCTTGGAGGCCTTGTGGGTGGACCAACTCAGGAAGCAATCGTTGTGATAGCGATGATCGCAGGGCCTCGAGAATCGGCGACCCGAACGAGCGCGACCAAAGGCGTCGAAGGAGCGAATCAGCGCGCGCTGCGAGCAGCGAACGAACGCAGCGAAGGCATCCCCCCAGCAGTGTTGAGCGGCGAACGAGCAAGCGCGCGTAAGCTTTACTTAAGATCTTAAGCAGCTATACCAGGACCCTCCTGCCCAGGCTGTTTGGAGACCCGACCACAGGTGGTTTCTGGGCACCTGTTGTCACCAGGAAGCACCTGTTGGAGGGTGCAGTTCCATCACCGAAGGAACTGAGTAACTTGGGGTGCTGACAATCACATCCGCTCGTTGAATGGGACTGCGGGAGCAGGCTCTGTTTTACCCCTGGAACCCCCAAACAACCAGAAACAAATGATTGGAACTGGAACCCAATATTGCTTTCTTCCAGGTTGAGATCCTATACATGTACCCTAGGGCTCCAAGTGCCTTCTAAGGTGTTTGGGGTAGGTTTGGAGGCTCCAAATAATATGTTCAAATACCTTCTGAGGTACTAGGAGCCCTAGGGATAGTAAGCATCAGCATTGGCCAATTGGGGAGTTCCATCCAGTTTTCCGGCGTTGTGGACCTCTCCACCATCGATCTGGAGCGAGGGACAAGACCTTGACTTTCTCACCCAGCTCGATGACATCCAGGCAAATGGTGCAGGTGCTTGGACTCAGGCGCGCAGCGCGTGGCCGTTTTAGGGCATGGGCTACGTGGCCCCTCCGGGCCCCCATGGGGCCGTTTTAGGGCATCTTTTAAGTGTTGAACGAAGTACTCAGCCCGCTGAAAAAGGTGAGCAATGCATCCTGAAACGAACCGAACTTCCCATGGTCGGACGTGTCGACGTGTCTCTCCCCACGGAAGCCGCGGTTTCCGTGAGACGTCGTCGCCGGAGGTCCCACGACCACCACGGAACACGTCGGTTCCGACTGACTTGGACCTCGGAAGAAAGGACGACCCGCATCCACTCATGACCTGCGTGGAGTCGACCGCGCACCCAGAGTGGGCAGTCGTAGCTGTTTGGACATGGGGGTCAGATGTCCCATTTTCTAAGGTACGAACGGGTCGACTCCAGTATGCCTGTTCACAGATGCGGAGTACACCACTAGCCTAACTTCAACCCTTCAAGTCTGACCAAGATCGACCGAATACCAATAAAAAATAACATTGAGACTTCATCACCCAAGTCTGATGAATCTGTAGCAGCACCTGGAGCGTGGTGTACATGCCACCTTTCAAATGTTTGAAAATCTGTTGACACTTCAAACGCTCATTGGACCCTCAGTTCGCTAGGGTTTTGACCCTCACAACCAGGGTTTTGGACCGAACCAACATGTAGCAGTTTGTTCGGGTCCAGGGTCGCCTCTGGCAACTTCTAAATGTCCAAGAGTCTTGCGCGTGATTTCCTCGGGCAACAACTGGAAAGCCTGTGTGTGTCGGTCCAAGCAGTGGAAGCGAACCCCGGAAACCTCCGGAAATCTCGGTACTACCGGGACCTGACTTCAAGCACCTTGGAAAATGGGACGTGACCCGAACGAAAAAATAGGTTCTGCTGGTACCCACCGCCTTGCGAGGTATGAACGGGTCGATTCCAGGTATGATGGGTGTGCATTCTGCTAGGGAGACCTCGCGGGCCAATCGGCAGACTCCATGTTCCAAACCTTCCAGGGAGTCAAACACCTGGGAGGTCTCAGAACTTGTGGCTCAAATCTGAAGGACTCGTCTAGACTGGCCATTCGCTGGTTTTTGATGCATCCACCACTCGGTCTTCGGCCTGATTCAGATGCAGGCACGCATGCACGACCGTCTAGCATTTCTGGAGGGAACTCCGGCGTTTCCAGACTGAAACATACTCTCAAAACCTCCCATGACGAACATGGAAAAGAAAAACAATATAAACATGCCAATCCATGCCCCCAAAATAGGTCAAATGTGATGCGCCCACGCCCACGCCCACCATTGTCAGAACATGTCAGTGTCCCTGGCACCATGTCTTCATCTCCTCCTGAACCTCCAAAACAAACGCCTGCGAACGGCAAGGGTGGAGAACCAACACCCAAAAACACCATGGTACCGTCTGAACCGCGGATTTCGCCGTCCACCCTGTCACCAGACGACCTCACGCCTACATCACTCCTCCCATCTTCCACGCTGCCTTGGTCATCTTGTCGATGCTCTTCTTGTGGCGCGGTCGCTCGGAGGCTCCGCCCGCGGCGTTCCCGGCGCCGTTCGCGGCAGCGTTGCCGGTGCTCTCGGAAGCGCCGTTCGCGCCGCCGCTCTCGGTGTCGGAGGCATCGTCCAAGCGCCAGCCCCCTCGGGGTCGTGGGGAGGTTGGGAGGAATCAGCGTAGTTTGAGGCGATGGGTTACGTCGAACACCCCCATATAGCTGGTCACTCAGTAGTCCGGACATAGCTTTCATAGCTTTCAATGCACTTCGATCACACTGAAATGGGAGCAACCTAGAAGCACCTGGGGCAGAAATTTCTGCCTCAGTCCGACTTGCCCGGGAGGATTCGCGGATTTAGGGGAAATCCGCGCCAGGTAGGAATTTCCGCGGGCAGCAGGGAATTTTGCCTCAAGCAAAATCCAACATAGCAACTCAAAAACCATTACAACCTACCAGGTTGTCTCTTCCATGATTGCAGACCACATATCGTTCTGCATCGCTTCACATCTGAAGATCTGACACCCTACGATTTTGACACTTCTAAATTCACGACATTCACAAAGAGGCTGCGACATATGTTCAAGCCCTTCAAAGGCATCAAAGGCACTGTTCTTGAATCCCGCCTTCTACCAGGAAATTTCCGCCGGTTTCCCGGGTATTTCCGCCGTTTTCCCGGGTATTTCCGCCTCTTTCCCAGGTATTTCTGCCTTTTTCCCAGGCATTTTCGCGCCAGGTGTTTTCAACTTTGGACTGATTTTAGTCCTTTTGTGATCATTCCGCACAAGAAACCTTCAAAAGCAAAGACACATATATGATATGATGGTAGCCAGATTTGCAGGTGGAGGTGGAAACTTAAGCGCTGCAAATTGCTTTTTCTCATTGCGGTCACCGTTCCAGGCAGAAATGCCCAATGTAAACTACAAAAATATTCAACTCCTCTAGAATATGTAGTCTTTGTCTCACTGGATTCCTGAAAGGGAATATTCGCGGCAACAAAAACATTTCTGCGGCAAACAGCTGATTTCCGCCCCAGGACGGGAAGAGCCGCTCTTCCCGAAAAAGGCAAGAATTTCTGCCCAAAGGATCTTCTAGGAATAAATGGCTGAAATCAGACGCAGGCATGAGTCTAACACCGACCCGTCGTCGTACCGAACCTGGCACCGTTTCGACCCGTGGCGCCGGACCCGCCGCTCCGCCCCAGCAACCCATGGGCTTTGCGGATTCGAAGCGTGAAACAAACATAGAACGCTATAGGGCCCGGAATCGAACATGGAGAAGCACATGGGATCTTCAATGGATCTCCTGTGCATTTTGGACTCGGAAAAAACCAACCAACCCAGTGGAGCGCGGGGCCGCAGGGCCCAGGAGAGTCAGGCTCTCAATCCCCACGAGTTCATGGGCAAGCATCGGATTTCAATAAGATTACCTCATAGAGTTCACTAGCAAGGTGTATAGAATCCTCCATGTGCACCCAAAAAGAATTGGATGAGCTAGCCGCTTATCTGAACTGTCTGGAAAATCGTGCTGAACATCTGCCCCGATTCCTCTGGGATGGGAGCATCCCTGTCGTATGTGGACCTCAATAAACGATCGTCACACAGAACAAATAAAGCACTCAAGATCCAACGGCCACCGCAAGCGCATGCAAGTCGAATGTACCCTTTATATCAAACCTTTCCCTAGGGATCCAAGTGCCTTCTCAGAAGGTGGGACTGGGGTGGGTGCCAGGAGGGTGGAGGGTCCAGGTGCCTTCTGAGGTTGTACGACTGGACCCAACCAATTGGCACCTATACAAAGGGTCCAACACATCACCGTACCGAAAAGAGGGTGGCAATGAATCCAGAAGCTTTCTGATGGCCAAAGGCGAGGCGAAAGGAATTGGGTACTCTATAGCTTATATATATAGCTATAAATGATCTGAAATAATCCAAGAACTGTCAACTCTAAAGAGTTGTCTTTTCAAAACCCTGTCTCCACTCGCGCTCCCCTCTCTTAACCAGCCCAAGTCGCGATATTGATAGCCCCAGCAAAGGATCAAGAAGAACGTGGGGGGCGTCAGCAAGAAGAGCATCATCACCACCAATGCCGCTGTATCCATGGCTCTGGCACCACCTGAACCCACCACGGGTTGGCCCTGGCAGGATGGTGGTCAGAACGACGCACAGCACGGTTCCGGCTGCTGGCGGAGGGCGCCCGGCTGAGTTCGGAGGGCGCCCGGCTAGTACTGAGTTTGGAGCTAAAACAAACACAGAGTGTCTCATCTTCTTCGGGTTCAATGAGATCCGAATCTGAATCTGTAACAGTTGCAGACTTCCCATTCAAGATTTGGTTGCGTGGCCGGGGGCGGTGTCGGATGGTTTCGGCTCTGCTTGGGGACCATCGACCTGTGTCGCGTGTCGCGAGAGCGCGACCTCGTCGCTTACATCATGGAGCCGTAACGGCTCACAGATGGACCGGTTCTGCGTCCGACCACGGGTCCGACCACCGGGCCCCCGATGGGTCAGGGCAGCCAGGTCCAAACAGGGTCCTGAAAACCTCAAGTACCAGCACCCTCCAAGAGCTGGCCCGGCTGTGAACGTTGAGGGTTGGACCCTGTCTCAGGTCGAACCATTGGTGACCTGTCGGAGTCGGGTCCTAATATATATAGAGTGTTTTGGTATGACCCACCTCCAATACAAGAGGTCTGGGACCAGTTCGAATGGTACTTTTACCGATCCGAAAACGAGACGTGCCACCAGCGTCCACCCGGTCCGGTCAGGTACGGAGCCCCCAAACTGAGTAATTGTGGCCCGGAGCGGCTGAAGCTTAGGGAGGGATGTGACCAAGTCATCCACAAACAAAAGTTTGTTCCCTTCAAAAAGATCTCAAAAGGTATGATCCTAGACCCTAGCCTTCAGTTCGACCGTTAACATCATTGTTGACCTGGTGATGTAGTGTAAAGTGCCTCGGTAACACAATGGTTCTTTGGGATTCAGACCATTAAAGCCATGGTTGTCCGAATCCAAAAAAGAGTAGATGGGAGGAAGTGTCGTTTTCACCATAATCCATAAATAAAAGAAAACGATCAACACCTGGATCTTCCCAGTGACCTAACTTGATCCCCTGGTTGGTTCGGTCACGAGTTCAGGCTTGTAAGACTCCCAAGTTCGGTCACTGGGAAGGTCCAAAGGTTCACCATGGCCACATCTATGATGATCTATGGGCATCCTGGTAAAGAATCCACGGTGTAAACAAAGGAAGGCTTCCACATATATACCTATATAGAACCTGAATGACCTCTATTTGGGACCACCAATCACCCAAAATGCTTCGTTTTTCGCATATATGGTCTCGGGCTCCCGGGCTGCGGCAAAGGTCTCGTAAGTGCCAGGAGTTTAAGACGCCAAAGGGTTGTTGTACCTATATCCGATGACAGGAAGCTCAGCTGGAAGCAATTTTTGTGCGTTTCAACGATTTTTATTGTAGGTCATAGGTCGTTCTCTACGTTTGAGAGCTTGAGAGCTTGAAGATTGAATTGTGTTTTGGTCCGATAGGGTCCAGGTACCTCCTTTTCGGATTGTCTTGAAGGTGAAAGTACTGTACTTCCAGAGAATGGTCGAACGGGGGGCTCAAAGGACATCCACGCAACGGATGGTCCTGGACCGTCTTAAAGTTGGACCTTGGCTCTTATGATGTGACAATCACATATCATGGCAGTAGCATGTATATGTTGCGTGGAGTTTCTTCCGGTGGCGCCCCAATGTACGTAAGCTTTCACCCTTCGGATCTTCCGCCGACATGACCATACTGTGACCATGCCAACATATTAAGGGAACCAAAAACCCAAAGCCTTACATGAATAATACCTGGACCCTCCTGTCGGGGTGTCCTGGCTGAACTACCCCACACTTCCTATAGGCTTCCAAACAGGGCACCCCAGCAGGAGGGTACCTGGACCCTCAGAATGCTACCTGCTCGGATTCGCTTCTTGGGGCCCTGTCTCGCCGTTTCTCGGTGTCTCGTCCAGAACGTCGCCCGCGAGGAGACCACGACGCTCCCGGGTCGCACGGAGATGTCGACCTCAAGGTCCTTCCGCAAGGGCTCGGTGCGAGCGGAGCGAGCGGAGCGAGCGAGCTCGGGTCTCTTGGATGAATCGAGCCATGCGGTGGCGGCAGATCCCAGATTCGAGTCTTCGAGACGATTGGATAAACCTTAGTTAGTCCATTTTCCGCCTGACCAGGTTGCAATGTGCTTGGTCAAACGCACAACTGTCTGATTTTTTTACATCATGCCGGTCCTCCGTTTCAAACATCACGATGGGCACACGCGCGTGGCGGATGATGTTCTGCCAGGTGGGCTTGCGGGTCGAAGGATTGGATTTTGTGCATGGAATCGTATCCCGAGGGAACGATTTACGAGTACCTTCTCAGAAAGTACTTGGACCCTCCTGGCACCGTCTCATGTGGAAGAAACGCATCATCTTCTCAAAGGGTATGTGGCATCCCTAAGGTATGGCAGACGTTGCTCAATTAGAATCAGTACAAGTGCAAAGGCCCTTGAACTTGGTATTTTAACTCCTTGAGTTGTGTTTCTGTACAACCAACTCGAGTGAGGTCGACCTGCAGGCCAATCGTCTTTGAGCTGCATCCTCCATTCACTAATTGATTAGGTGTATGTAGGCTGCTGGCTAGACCTCAAAATACCTATGCGAAGCATAAAACGTATCAGTATCCTGAATCTATATATATATATATACAATGAAGAGGGTGAGCCCGGCTTTTTCACATCATCGAAACGTATGGAGAAGAATGAGGCCCTGAGGCCACCTGAGAGTGGCAAAGTCTGACTATTGAACAAAGAGGCTAGACTTTTAGTGAGGTTTAACTAGAACGCACAAAATGGACAAAAACAAACACAGTACATGTTCCTGGTTCTTCCGTTCACGCCTGCAAAGGGTCACTTAGACGCTCCAAAACATATATATTTCAAGAAGCTGGTTGGAGCTGTGGAGTGATTGGCATTCTGTCAAGGAGTTGCTGGAAGTGGCTGGTGTTTACATTATACCGAAGATCCTAAGCTACAAGTATGTTAGAGTTGTGTCAGAGTCCTGAAAGGCTCGTCACGGTTATCTCATCTGAGCTGCACGTATCTGCACGCTTCCCCAACGCCGCCACTCCGGTCGCACCTTGACATGGACGCCAGCTTGGGCTTGCAACCATCTTGGCAGGACGGGGGTCGATTTTACTCCGAACTTGGGATTCGCACCTGGACCATCCTGTCTGGGTGTCCTGGAGATCTCTAGGTAGTGGAACTGGTCGGGTCTAGGGTAGTCCAGCTAGGTCACTCAGACCTATCTGCCATGGCTCTCGATCATGCAAAGCGGCTCCGGGGGGTCCTGAGGTGAGGCGACCGACATATCGGGGTCTACCGGGTACCGGCCACCGGTTCGTGGAAAAAGCATGTATTGTTTTTGGTGTAGTTCTGCAGTGTATTTCTTGTAGTTTCTTGTGCCGTTTCAAGAACAAGCGTCGGTTCAAACCTTCGTGGTCTTCAACACAAGCACTCAAAACGGTGGCTAACATGTTCTGCCGTTTCGCGCGGGTCATATGCCACTTGAACATTTGTTCTGTCACCATTTTAGGAACAACTCTCAGAAACTATATACCCATTCCAATACCTCCTCAGAAGGTATTTGGACCCTCCAAACCCGCCCCAAACGCCTTCTCAGAAGCTACTTGGAGGCCTAGGGATACTGATAGATCATTATATACAGAAGGGCACTAAAAAGTGCCGTTTCGTTAAAAGGAACAAACATGTCTATGTTTTTTGTTTTTTGAATGGAAACAGCAGTAATCCTGCATACGACTTAGGAAGATTACGGTATAACCCTAAACCTTATATATAAACCCAAATCTTTGTACTCTCCCTAGCACTGCGGACCCTCAAAAACCCATTGAGTGGGAGTTCTTTCCACCATATACCCTAGGGATCCAAGTACCTTCTCAGAAGGTGATTGGAAGTACCTGCTGAGGAGGTATGACTGGATCCCTAGGGATATTTTTTGGAGCAAACCTTTCGACCATGTCCCGCTCTGCCTCCTCGGATTCAACATTGGCTCGCCTCCCGAGCCGGTCGATGGTAGGAAGCACCAAAGCATTGCGCACGTCCTTCGCCTACCCCCCCGAGCTGGTCGAAAAAACATCGAGGGTGGCTCAGCTGCTGAACTCGAATGTAGCTTCTATAAAGGGATAGCGGATAGCAGTCGGAGCGGTCTTATTTAATTATGAATCATTTTGGAATCACCTCAATGAAGGGCAAGGAAAGACCATTCTATAGCCTCGAACTTACTCACCTCCGTTCGACCATCCGAACATACCTGGACCCGGGACTTTTTCAAGGGCTTTGACCAAACAACCTTTGTTTGACTAAGGATTTTAGATTACCAAACAAGGTCAACCGAGATCTTGTAATGTTCAAACAGAAGCGTATATACCTGGAGATACCTGGAGGTTTTGGGTTGTCTTGGTACCAAACCAGGTCAACCGAACTCTTAAATCCTCTAACCAATGGTCGATCCAGCTTCGTTCTTGCAAAGGCAAATGGCGAGGCTCGTCGAGCGAAGGCCTTTGTGGGTGGGTGAATGGCACTTCGGTGCGGTTTGAAGGGGATGCAGTAGTGCTTGACTGGTGAAGAATGCATGAACATACACCTACCAACACCACCCGTGACCGTGACCAAAGGTCTCCTTCCGTGACCTCTTCCTGGACGATTCGTGACCGCATCTGCATGCATCCTCGAACGATGCCAAATTGGTGTTTTGTTCTTCTATCCAAGTACCAGTGGCCCTCAAAGCCGTGAAATGGAACTTTTGAGTCCCATGCGTGTGACGGCAGAAACTTCTTCGCGCGCAGGGTGACAGACTGGAACTCTGCACAAAGTCCTCGATCAGAGTCGATCAATCATGCGAGCCCCCTTAAATGATCCCAGGGCCTGTCATATATACCTGGAGTCTCCAAAGTACCTTGGAAAATGGGACATGACCCCACAAAAAACAGGTACGACTGGGGCCCGATTTTCCGAGGTACTTTCACGGGTCGACTCCAGGTAGATCCCAATGGCCTGTCATGTAGTGCCAAGGATGGATGAGAAATGGGGCAACTCTTCACCTGATTCACGATGCTGACACGTGTAATTGGACCGTATTAGCTGCTATAGGCTCTGAACCATCCTGAACCCCGGCCTCAGCCACCCGGTGTTGGCA